GTACCATTCCAAAGTACAAAGGGTTGATTTGCCCTGTAGCACCATCAGAACCAGCAAGGTGGCCATGGTAGGATTGAAAGATAAAACCAGAAAGCTTCTTTCTATACCACTCTTGGTTGTTCCACAGCATTATGACGCAAAAATCATTCTCCTTGTAGGCAATAAAGCTGACGGATGTTTCCAGAAGCTGTCACAGGCATTAAATAAGCTTGTCAAACCACATTGTACCCATCTTCATAACAAGAAAAGCTCATGAAATTATATTAGATGGGATGCATATAAACACACTTCTAAGTCTAGAAGGATCAAGTGATAGTTTAAGTAAAGCCACATAAAAAAGGGATAGAAGAAAACTAAATTCCATAAGGTTTCTTGTTTTGCCTGATTATTAGGTGCAAATGGCGCTTGAAAATGCTGACAACAAAGCAGTTCTTGAGAGAGATCAAAGTGTAAGATATGTTAATTTACTTTGCTGTGCAAAATAGCGCGCAGATGATGTTCCAAACAAATAGTATAAAGAGCACGTGTGTGTCAGCTTGACGAAACTATATAATAATGATCATTACCATACAACCAGTCTTTAAAATATACGTGAAGAGCAGTGGATAATTCCCGTTTTTTGTTTTCTTCAAGAGGTGCTTCCCTCAATAATTGCTTTACCTCCCCTAAATTGTTCTGCTGGAGAAAAATATAAAACAATGAAAAGATAAAAACATGACCCCACCAATATCAGGAAATTCTTGGTTAAAATAAAATAAAAATTAATGTCAGTATACTCAGCTGTAGTAAACATACATTTCTATGCTGGGATGCCACATAAATATCTGGTAATGGAAATGGGTTGTCTTTTGTGGAGCCCTCTGATTCACCTCCATACCAGTTTGGAATCTGTACATCAAGGAAGCATATAGGACGTGACTAAATAATTCAGAAAGAAATTGAATCACTCTATAGCAACTACAAGACCATCTCAACCCTCCTCCCAACCACCCAAAAAGAATAATTAGAAAATACAAGTGTGATTGCCCAAAAGAACATGACTTTGCCTAAAGAGATTGTCGGTAGAGCCTTTCCAAGGTTTTGTTCAGTTTAATTATGAAAAACTATTATTTCCAGGAACTAAGGGCAACTTTTAATACACTATTCAAATCTACAAATAAACAGCCTATAGTAAAAATTATAAAATATACCAAAAAATTTGTGAACTGCTCAGGGTCTAAGTGTGAACCAGACTCAGCTTGAGCATCAGAGACACCTGCTGGATGAGATAACGAATCATGTGGATCAACCACTCCAAGTGCCAGGGGTTCATTCCATCTGTTGATAGTAGCATCAATCCCAACTTCATTCATGTGCTCCTCCAACTGACCGTAAAATGTATTGTAGGGTGCCACCTGATAAAAAGCAGGAGGTAAAAACAAAAATCTTCTTTATTAGAACTTGAAGAATAAAACACAGAAAACTATCATCACAATGTAATATAATACATCATATGATCACGAATTTAATGATAGGTAACCGTAAAGATTATCAATTTTGTTACTCTTAGAGTCATATTGTATTCAATTTGAAGTCAAAGGTTTAACATAGCAAAAGAAACCGATGCAAACAGGACCATTTTTCAGAATTAAACCATAACAACTAAATGTGTACAAGACTGTCAGCAAAGATCAGTTACAAAGACCGGGCTAAAAGGGTGTGTGTGTAGTATGTTCACTGTAACTTCGCACGTAGGGCTGTGACATTTCATTTAATATTTTACACAGATGTCAAGAAGAACTATTAGATTTGGTGGCATGCTATCGAATGTAGAATGGAAATAAGTCTTATGGTGCACTGCTGATGATATCAATCTCAATAAGACAAGCATAGTGACCAATAACATGTCAATGAAACATATTAAATATGTTGCATACAGTAGGATATATGGGATCACAGAAAAGAAATTACATGGCGATGGTAGTTTTACAAACAATCAAATAGGTTCAACAATTAACCAAAAAATCCGCATTAAGATCAGTTGCAGAAGATAAAGCATAACAGTACCTGGGGAAACTCAATCAAATGTAAATTATACTGTAAAAAGCCTTAGAACCAGCTAGTAACACAATTGCGCATCACCTTTAAGGAGTGAAAACTCACCTGTAACTTATGGTTATCACCAACAATAAGTGGTCTCTGGTTTACCCCAAGAAAAAACATGCATTCACGGCAGTTAGCAATGCAGATTCGTTTTGCTGCTGTAATCACATGAACTCGCTCACAGTGTTCAATTCTTACAGCCTGTAAGAAACATTAGATCGTCTAAGATATAAGATTCAAGTCAACAGGTGTCTAGAGGACCCACACCCATTGCATGCAAAACAGTAATTACCAGGTTGATCACTTCACATTACAGTAATAAGTCATTAGAGAGATAGGTAA